ACCACTGATTGGTTCAAAATTGGGAAATGAGTCCAGCAAGGCTGTATATTGTCGCCCTGCCTATTTAACTTATATGCAGAGCACATCATGAGAAAGGCGGAGTTAGATGAATCAAAAGTCGGAGTTAAGATTGCCAGGAGAAATATCAACAACCTCAGATATGCAGCTGACACCACTTTAATGGCAGAAAGTGAAGAGGAACCAAAGAGCCTCTTGATGCTGGTGAAGGAAGAGAGTGCAAAAGTTGGCTTGAAACTCAACATTAAGAAAACTAAGATCATGGCATCCAGCCCTCTCAATTCCTGCCAAATAGATGGGGAAAAATGGAGGTAGTAACAGATTTTATTTTCCTGGGCTCCAAGATCACAGTAGATGGGGACTGCAGCCAAGAAATTAAAAGACGCTTGCTCCTGGGGAGGAAAGCTATGGTAAATCTAGATAGCTTACTTAAAAAGCAGTCATCTCCCTGCCAACAAAAGTGCGTATAGTCAAGGCTACGGTTTTCTCAGTTGCCATGTATGGCTGTGAAAGTTGGACCATAAGAAAGGCTGAGTACCAAAGAATTGAGGCCTTTGAACTCTGGTGCTGGAGAAGACTCCTGCGAGTCCCTTGGACTGCAATGCGATCAAATCAGTCAGTCCTAGAGGAGATCAACCCTGACTGCTCTTTAGAAGGCCAGATCTGATGGTGAAACTCAAATACTTTGACCACCTAATGAGAAGGAAGGACTCCCTGGAGAAGAGCCTAATGCTGGGAACGATTGAGGGCAAAAGACGAAAGGGACGACAGAGAATAAGGTGGCTGGATGGAATCACTGGAGCAGTAGGCATGAGCTTAAATGGACTCCAGAGGATGGTAGAGGACAGGAAGGCCTAGAGGAACGTTGTCCATGGGGTCGCGATGGATCGGACATGACTTTGCAACTAACAACAACAGCAGCAACATGCAATGCTTTCTCTTCCCGTGCCTTTTTTCTGTTCATTTTCTTGTAGGACAGTTTGGTCACTCCAATAGACCTTCCTACCATACTAATTTGATTGCATCTTCTTCACTGTCCTTCAGATATTCTTCCAAAGAATTTTTTTCTTCTTCAACCATCTGATATACTTGCAACATAGATAGAGTCTGTTAGTATCTCTGCAAGGATGAAGGACATGATTTCTTGTCATTATTTTTCGGGTCTTCCTATCCATGGCTTTTAGTTCTGTTTAAGTCCAGTCCACTATTCCAGCTGTGTATCTGATGACCGGAATTGCCCAGGTGTTGTTTGCCTTGATGGTATTTCCTCCGTTGAGTTTGGACTCAATAGGTATCCTTCAAGCTCACAACATCAAGCACACTGAAGTCAGGAAAAAGATGAGAGGTGAATACATCAAAAGACTTCAATCTTTTGAATCTTTTTCTCTAATCTTCTTCCTGACTTCAATGTGCTTGATGTTGTGAGCTTGAAGTATTTGTAGTAATCATCTTCATCCACGAAAATGTTATTTTCATGGGACATCTTGGATTCCTTCCATTTTCAGTATTTTTCCCTGTTTGATGGAGAGTGTGGCACGTTCGCCCCATCCAAACTCCATTGCAATATCTTGGCTGTATATGTGGAGAGTGTTGAGCAGTGATTATATTTCAGGTGGCGTTTTTCCATACATCTTCCCATGTAAAGGAGGCTGGATAGCCTGGTGGATTCTTTTGATGTTGGATAGCCTGAGTTATTCAGTATTGTTGACAGAGGAAACAGTGCAATGACAAACAGTGGCAAAGGGGAGGTGGAGCACAATATAAGGGGTGGGTAGCACAAACGTTCATTCCTTTTGGATGGTCGCTTTTGTTTTGTTTTGTTTTGTTTTTATTAAATTTATATACCGCCCTACTCCCGAAGGACTCAGGGCGGTGAACAGGCACAAAATAAAATACATAGATACAAAAGTTAGAAACATAATTAAAACCAGATTAAATAATTTAGCCTGAGACAATTAAAAATCCCAATAATTTAGAACAGATTAAAATTTCGATTTAAAAGAATTTTAAAACAGGGGAGAAAATTAGGCCAGGCCGGCTTGCTGGAGAATAGGAGGGTCTTAAGAACACGGCGGAAAGTGCGCAGACCCGTGTTTCCAGATATACAATTCTAACATCAACCTGCATTGCTGGCTTTTCTTACGCAGGACGCCGGAACGTGACAGTAGAGATGATAGAGAATCTCCTTGAAATATTCCTCTCTTGATATTAAACCTCTCCCAGTCTCTCACCATTGACAACAAACCGTGTCTTCCATTGTAACGCTGGTTTTTGCACAAAGCTTCTGATTCTGTTTCTACTGACTCCTGTTATTTCTAGTCACTTGATTATCCAGTCATGTGGCAGGGAGTCGAATGCCTCCTTGTAATCCATCCAAATTGGCCTTCCTTCTCTTGCAGTTTTCCAGAATCATTTTAACAGGATAACAGAACAACAGACTTGGAAGGGAACTTGGAGGTTGTTAAGACATTCAATTTAGTAGCCGGAAGACTAAAGTGTGCAATGAAGCAGAACACGCAGCTGTAGTCGAATGGTTGGAGGGGGCTGTTGGCTCTTGCGTGAGGCAATCTGCGCTCTGGTAGGTTGATGTGTTGTAAAAGGGAAGTTTCCCTTTTTCCCCACCTTTTTTCTTCTCCATGCTGTCTGATGTATGTATGTATGTATGTATGTATGTATGTATGTATGTATAAAACAATATATATATGTAACATTCAACATCATCCAGAAAGGAAAAACACAAGAGAATCAGGAGCACAGGAATATCATGAGGTAAATCAGACAGCATACGGAACACCCAGAAGAAAAAAAGGCGGGGAAAAAGGGAAACTCCCCTTTTACACCACAGCAACCAATCATTGTGTGTGTGTGTGTGTGTGTGTGTGTGTGATGAAGCACCTGCAACTTCTGGAAGGAAGCCGTTCCACTGCTTACTTGGCTTCACTGTCAGGAAGTTTCGCCTTGGTTCTAAGTTGCTTCTCTCCTTGATTGGTTTCCATCCATTTGCTTCTCATCTTGCCTTCTGGTGCCTTGGAGAATCGGTTGACACACACACACACAGCCCTTTCTTCTTTGGGGCTGCCCCTCAAATACCCCGGAATACCGCTATCATGTCCCCTCTATTCCTTCTTTTCTCTAGACCAGCCATACCCAGTTCCTGCAATCGTTCTATGTTTTTCTCTCCGGGCCTTTGATCCTCTTAGTTGCTCTTCTCGGCAGTTTTTCCAAACTCTTAGCATCTTTTAGCATCTTAGCACCTGCCACATAACACCCCAGATTTAAAAGTTGTCGATAACAAAGACAAAAAAGTCTGGATAGTGGTTGTGGCAGTGCCTGGAGACCGCAGAAGAGAAGAGAAGAGAAAGAATTGGAGAAGATAACGAAATACAAAGTCCTACAAATAGAAATAGAACAACTGTGGCAAAGGCAAGCAAGGGCAGTACCAATAGTCACAGGCGCCTTGGGTGCAGTCCCAAAACAACTGGAGCACCACTTGGACACCACTGGCATTGACAAATTCTCCATTAGTCAATTGCAGAAGGCGGCTTCCATCCTGCAATGATATCTGTAACACCATCAAACATAATAATAATAATAATAATAATAATAATAATAATAATAATAATAATAATAATAATAATAAATTATTATTATTAAAATGCATTATAGCCGTTCAACTCCAACAGACTCTGGACAGCATACAACACAAAACAAAATCCTTAAAAACAGATAAAACAGAGCCAGTTGGGTCTAAGTGGTTAAGGTATCAAGTCAACAAATGGCAATACATTAACCTGGGACCCGAGACCCAGTTGGCCCTCAAGGCAACCGCTCTAGGAATGAAGGTGGGGTATCCAGGCCCTCCCAAGAGACCCCCCCCTCCACAGGGGGAGCTGTCTTACTGTTTTCAATGGTTATTTGAGTTTTTGTTGCTTTGTTTTGCCTGCCCAGAATCACATTCCTGAGATTGGTGGCGGTATATACATTTCCTAGACAGAGAAATAAATAGATAGGCCAAGGAACCCCAGGTACGTTTTGCTCCACGGAGGGAGTGGGGGGGGGCACCTGCCTGGCCTCTTCAGGGAGGGGAAAGCCCCAGGGTCAGGGCAGCCTCCGCCAGCCACTCCTGAGCACAGAGGAGAAACAGAAGGTCTGACCAGGACAAGGGTCCCTGGCCCAGAGGTTTGGGGTGGGGTGGGGGTGGCCTTATTGCTCCCAGAAGGTGCTGGGGGCCAAGGAGACGGGGGCAGCCCCAAGGCCAGAAGCCGAAAGGTCGGGGGGAGGGACCTCTCCCCCAGCCCAGCCCCAGAAGCTTCCCCCCAACCCAGAGGAGAGCCTGCAAACGGGGTTAGGGTTAAGGGAAGCTCAGACTCCCAGCTAACAGCCCCATCCAGACTAGCGAGCCCCCCCCAACAGCCCCCGAGGCCTTGACCCAAAGGAGCCACGGGCCTGCCGGCTGCATCGGAAGGGCGAGTCTGTTGGGGGAGGGTCTCATTCAGGACCCCCCCTTCAAACGCGGCTCACTTCAGCCTCCAGGGCCGCCGGTTGCCCAGAGGGATGGGCGGCAGGAGGAGATTTGGCACCGGGGAAGCCTTGGGGCAGGGCGGGGGGGGCATGGAGCTGATTGTGGGGGGGGGCGTGGGGGGACTTCGCGACACAAACGTGGTTCTTGCTTTATTTCAATGGTTGCACCGGACGAACAAAGCAGAGGCAGCGACCGGAGTCCGACCCCCACGGGGCCCCCTCGGCGCGGGAGGGAGGGAGGGCAGGGAGGGGGGGCTAAGGAAGGGGGAGGGGGGGTCCGAGGGCAGGTTGGCGCCCCCTGGACCTCCCCCCCCACAGCCTCCCTCGGGCGCTGCACCGGCCGCACTTCCGCCTGACGGCGCAACCTCGTGGCGGGGGCGGGGCCCCGTCGGGCCGAGCGGCGGACGCGACAGGAAGCAGGTAGCGGAGCCTCCGGAGCAGCCCCGGCGGGGGGAGAGGCGGGCGCGGGGGGGTCTCCGTCGGGGAGGGGTGCGTGGGGGGGGGCGCATCGATGCCCGGCCAGAGGGGCGCCCCCTCCCGGCTGCCTTTGCCCGTGGGCGCCTGCGGGGTGAGGGCCGCGCTGCGTGGGTGGGGGGGGGCTGTGGGGGGGGGGGCTGGGGTTGCTGCCGTCGGAAGGCTTAGCGGTTGGGTCTCTTCCTCCCCGCAGGTGGCGGCGCTGCTGCTGGCGCTGCTGATGGTGCCGGCGCTGCAGCGGCTCTCCGGTCGCCTCTTCTCCGCCTCCTCCTCCTCCGCCTCCATGGCGGCCGAGCCCCCTTCTTCTCCGGCGGCGACGGCGGCCCTCCTCTCGGCCGCCTTCGTCACCTGCCCCAACGAGACGGTGGCCAAGGACATCGCCAGGTGGGCGGGGCGGGGGGGGCACCGGGGGGGGGGGAAGGGCCGAGGGGGGAAGGGTCTGCTGGCGGGGGCCGGTCCTGATGGTTGCTGTCCGCAGGGCCCTGGTGGAGCGGCGGCTGGCGGCCTGCGTGAACGTCCTGCCCCACGTCACCTCCATGTGAGTCTCCCGTGGGGGGCTGCTTGGAGGGCGGGTTCGGGGGGGCGGCGGCGGCGTCCCGGCCTCAGCTCCCCCCTCCGCGTCTCTTGCAGCTACCGGTGGAAGGACGCCGTCGAGGAGGACGCCGAGGTGCTGCTGGTGAGGAGGGGGACGGAGGGCTCCGCCTTCCCCCCCCCATGGGAAGAGCCGCCTTCACCCATCCGGTGAAGGGTGGGCAGCCTTGCACCCCCAGCCCTGTGGGGGTTGCAACACTGAGCCCCCCCCCGGGACCTTCTGCGGGGGTTGTGGAAGGTGCCCTCCCCCCGTGGCCAGGCGACCGAGTTGATCCGTGTCCTGATTCCCTCCCCCCCATCCATTGGACGCCCCCTTGCCCACCCAAGGGGGCTTGAAACCCCAACTCAGTGAGCCCAGTGTGCCAGGGTGCACATGTGGCACCTGCAGCAGAAGGGAGAGTTTGGCTGAGGAATTGGGGAGGGGGCTCCAAGGGGGGACAGGCTTTTCTCCTCCTGCCAGATTCAGAGCCCTGCCTGCAGATTTGGGGCTCCCTCACGGCCGGTCTCTCTATTCCCCCACAGATGATCAAAACACGCAGCTCCAGGGTCTCGGCGCTGGCAGAGTATGTCCGGTAAGGCAGAGCCCCCCCTCCCCTCTGGCAGATGGGGGGGGCAACATTCAATGTCTACATCAAACCCCCCCCACACTTTGGCTTGCAGGTCGGTGCACCCCTACGAAGTGGCCGAGGTGATCTCCGTCCCCATCCAGCAGGGAAACCCCCCGTACTTGCGATGGGTGGAAGAGGCCGTGGCCCCGGAGTGAGGGGCCCTTACTGTGTCCACAATAAAGCCCCAGGGCGTTTCAGGCTCTCGTTTCTGTCTGCAATTGTCCTGGGGGCCCCTGGGGCCTCCTTGCGTCTTGGGGGTTGTGTGGAGCCGGGGAGGGGCCTGCCCGGACCCCCCTCGGCAGCTGCAGTCCCATGGCTGGGGCCCCACCGTGGAAGAAATTGCGGCAGCCGAGTCTCACTGAAGCTCTTTATTCAGCCTCTGGCTGTGAACGGGAGGGGAGGCGAGGGGAGCGGCAGCAGCATCTTGAACGAAGTCAGCAATGGGGGGGGGAGTCAGGCAGCCCCCCGGGAAGCCGTGCCCTGCCCCTCTCGGCCGTCTCCCTAAAAACTTTACTCAGAAACAGTACAAAAATAAACGAACTCGGGCTTCGCTCCACAGGGGGGCTAGGAGGGGTGGGAGAGCGCAGGCGGCAAGGTGGCGGGGCCCTCCAGCCAGGGTCCCTTTCCCAGGTCCCCAGCTGCCCTTCCTTCTGTGGAAATCGGGGGTGGGGGTCCTTGTGGCTCCAGGTGGAGTCTCACTCTTTAGCCAGCAGGCAGCCTAAAACATGCCCCGCCCGTCCCACTCCACCAGGTACTGGACGGTGCCGTCCATGGCGATGCGCCGGGCCAGGATGCGGACGGCCTCCCCCCGCGCCAGCCGGCCCATCGCCCCAAAGTAGCTGCTGCTGGCTGGGGCGCAGAGGGAGGAGGGCATGGCGGGGGGGGGGGGGAGGGGGCACGGCTCGGCGTTTGAGGGGAGGCGTCGCGCAGGGCAGGAAGGCAGGGGCAGGGCGCTCCGGACTCTGCTGCTCTGCGGCGGGGGTGGCTGCCACACAAGGGTCAAGGGGGGGCTCACCGCTTCTGCTGCAAGAGAAGAGGAAGTGGTTAGTGCCAGCCCCTCCCACCACCAATGTCCAGTGGTGTCCCGTTCCCCCTCCCGCCCCCCCGGACAGAGCCGTCCCAGAGGGCCCCTCTGTGGAGGCTTCCCATCCTGGAAGAGAAGGAAAAGGGGGGTAGGGGTCTGGCTGATCTCTGTCCTGGGGTGTACCTCAGAGCCCCGTCAGCCGTTGGGGTGCATCCTATCCAGAACACGGGCGGCCCAGCTCCACAGACATTCAGTACCCTGCATGGTGGCATTACCAGGACCGGAGCAAGTGGCGGTGGGCACCCCAGCTGCTTTGGGGACCTTCCTGCCCAGGTGTGGGGTGCGGGTCCTGTGACCGGACTTGGGGAAGAAGCCGGTGGAAGGGACCGCCAGCGTGCCGGGACTTCTCTTTGACTTCCGGGACGGCCCCCAACTCCGGGTGGTGCTTCTGCAGAAGCACTGATCCTGGGGAGGGTCTCCTTCGAGGGCCTCTCCAGAGAGGGAGCCAATATTGGGATTGGGCCCCTCGCAAAGGGGGCCTGCAAGGGAAGGGGCCCCAGGCAACCTCGGGCCCTACGCTCACGGGTGCAAAGGAAGGGCTGCTTGCACCCTTGGGGGAAAACCAGTCCTTTTGCACCCCATTTCTGCAGAGGAGGAGCTCCTGCTTTGGGGGCAAAGGTGGCCCCATGACAAGGGCTTTGCTCTGAAAGCCCCCCACGCACCCCTAGCCCGTTAAGGCTCCTGCCCAGCCTTAGTTTCCGTCAATGGGCAGGTCTTTGCCCTGCAGTGCCCCTTGACAGCAGCCCTTGGGGAGAGAGGCTGACTGCCGGCCGTCTGTCGGAGCAGCCCATGAAGAATCATCGGGGGGGGGCTGCCAGACCACGTCCTGCCACTGTAGCAGGGGCCCAACGCAGAGCCTCAGCTTGCCTGGAAGCACCAGCCGTGGGAAGCAGGCACACCGGATGCCTATCTAGGCCAGAAGCCCCCCTCCCCATTGGGATCCACCATCCTGGCCCCAGGGGGATGCTGTGGGGACCCACACGGCCCTCTGTGCTGCCCTGCTCACCTCAAGGTCCCTGCGGTGTTGGCCGAGGGATGGAAGGAGGCGAACATCCGGATCGGAGCGCTGTGGGGGGCGGGGAGGAGGGAGAGCAGAGCAGAGCATCAAGAGGGAGCCGGCCTGGTGAACTGGCCCCGCCCTCTGTGCCCCCTGGCCACAGTCTCACCTGTCCTGGCAGCGGGCATCAGTGCGGCGGAAGTTGTATGTGCTGCAGGTGCCGCCGTAGCCGCCGTAGTTCTGGTTAGGGCTGATGGGGCTCTGCACCAGCTCCTGTGTGAAAGGAGCATTGAAGGGCCGCTGGGGGGACCAGCATGGAGCCCCTCCTCCCTGGTGGCTCTCTCCCGCCATCCCCTCCCCCCCCCCTCCGCCCGCTTACCTGAGTGAGGGCCCTGCCCAGCCGCTCCCTCTCCCTGGTGCTGCGCTGCTCCGTGCTCAAGGCTGCCCCTGGAGCCTTCGGGCGATGGCACCTGTCCCTCCTGGGCTGCGGTCCCGACCCACGCCTGCCCTGCCCTGAAAGCAAGCTGTAAGGGGCCCTCCTTATCTGTGCAGCACGGAGGGGGGGCCGGGGGGAAGGAGCCGGGGGGGGGCAGCTTCCTTCTCTCCCCAGGCCCACAGCTGGGGAGGCCAGTGGGGCAGAGAGGGCTCCTTCTCACCTGCTCTCGGAGAGGAGGGGTGGCCCGGGGCACTCTGGGGCTTGGGGGGCGGGGGGTGGGACTCGCAGGTGCAGACCGAAGAGCCCCTTCCGCTTCTTGATTTCCTTCCCGGAAATGAATCTGTGGGGCAGAGGAGAGGAGGGATGGGGGGCTGCGCCAGTACAGCTCCTTCCTGCAACCCAGGCCGCCCATCGGGGCTGCAGCCCCCACACCCATTCAGTCAGTGATACAAGGCCAGCGATGCGCTTTGATTGACAGGACACAGCCCACTGCAGTAACAGGTTTAAACTAGACCTAGGAGCTCCCGTGGGGGAGGGGCACTTTCCACCTGAGGGGTTAGAAACCCACCGGCTGCCCTCGCCCTCCACCTTTCTGACAACCTTCCCCGAAACGACCTCGTTTTCTGCGTTCACCCCCACTTGGTTTCTGAATTGGCTCAACCTGAGGCTCCCGCGAGATCCTGAAACCCTAAACTCCCTTAAATTCAGCAAGCAGCTGTTTCTCTTAAGCCCCCTAAATTTAGACCAAATATGACCAGATGCAGAAATGGATTAATTTGCACAGATGAGCTGCCCATTTTGGGGCTCAAACCACAGAACAAAATTTGAATGGAACCAAACGGGCTGAGCTTGTACATCAGGCTGAACCTCCAAAGGGGAGCTGTCTTAGGATGTGGTGCAAACACGGGACCTTCGCCTGACCCAGGAGAGTCGGCCCTGTTGGGGAACAACCATCCCAGTCGGGGAGTGGGGGGGGAGTGTCAAACAGGGAACTAGCCTGGAGTCTACGCAAACACAAGATCAGATTCCCTTCCAGTGCCTTGGAGTCTTATCGGGCCTTTCCCAGGTGATTTCACTAATCTGGGAAGATCCCTGTAAACAGGCAGAGAGCAACGAAGTGCAGCAACTCAATTCTACACTTGTGGGTCTGGTTCAGAGGTGAAATGCTACAGGTTCGGCCGAACCGGTAGCGATGGTGGCAGGTGGTTCAGAGGTAGTGGCAGCAGCAGTACGAGGCTCTGCCCACCCGCCTGTTGTTACTTCCTGGTTTGAACCAGGAAGTAACCTGTTTTTTACCCTCTGCACATACACAGAAGGGTTTGCGTGTGCACAGAGGGTACGTGGCGCATGTAACGCGCGTGGCGCATGCACTTCCGAACCGGTAGGGAAGGTAAGTAGATTTCACCCCTGGTCCGATTGTTTGCGCCTGACAGTCCCGAGCAAGGCCTACCTGTCCTTGTGGCTGGTCAGGGCACTCAGCAGCTGGTTGTACCTTTCTCCTTTGGGTGTCTCGGAGAGCTGCAGGAGGCCAAGGAGGACAAGGACAATGAACAACAGCCAATGCACAACACAGCCTTTCCCCCCAAAGGGACCCATTGCCAGGCCAAAGAAAAGGGTCCAGTTTAGCTGAGGGGCCCAGAAGACGATGGCCTCCCTTCCTGGGAGGATGGCTAACCTTCCTCCCAGGATCGAGGCCTTGTGGAACCAATTGAAAGAGCACGGCCAGCAGGCTACACTCTTCCCAGACCCGGCTGTGGTCCCTAGGGTGGATCTATGCTATACGTGAAATCCCTCCTTCCAAGGCAGTGGCCGCTGGGGTTAAAGGTCACTGGGGATTGAAGGGGGGGTCTATAGGCAGCTGTACTTATGCCACGAACGTCCACTTCCCAGTGGACTCTAGAGGCAGACTGTTGGCTGCCTCTAGAGCTGCACCGAGTTTTCCCACAGGGATTCAGGGATCCAAAGGGCCCGGGCCTGGGACCTCATTTGGGGCAGGGGTAGCTAGCAGCACCAACCTGCTCCTCAGTGGCTCCAAGTGCCCCCCATTTAGCCCTTCACATAATGGCCACGAGCACAGAGGAACGCTCCGGGTTCTTCAAAAGAGGCAGGAGCCCGGGGTGACCTGCTGTGTGTCCATTCCACCACGACGCAAAGCAGGCAGGCAGGAGGGATCCCCCCATGTGCCCCCCCCGCCAGGCCCTGCTCTGACCTCTCCCAGCAGGAGGCTGTCCCAGTTCTCGCTGGCGAAAGGCAGGATTTCTCGCTCAAAATCGAAATATTTCTTCTTGCAACAAATGCTCAGGTGATACAGGATAAGGTGGGCCACGTCCACCCTAAAAGGCGTCAAAACCTGAGTAAGAGACACCTGCCAGCCCAAGCCCGCACCAGCACCCTCGGCAAGGGGTTGAAGGGCTTGTGGGGCTGCCCTCTGTGACACCCCACCCCCGGATTTAAAACTCCTTTGCGGAGCAGGAGCCCCACTTGGGTCAGGGCCCAGCCTCAATTTCTGTCCCAAAGCCAGAAAGTGTCGCACAGAGACTGAGCCAGCTCGGGCTTCGTGGGCTTCCTTCAAAAATGGCAGCCCCAAACTGGCCGCCTCCGTCAGGCTCCAAAGCCAGAACAAGCAGCCCCCCCCCCCCACTCCGGCCACCGTGAACTTGACAGAGGGGAGCGCCTTCTGCTGGCCGGGGAGGACAGCTTCCTGTGGCTCCGGACCCCGAAAAACCGGGCCCTGCACAGGCAGCCTTTGATTGCAAAGGAGGCAACCGAGGGCAGCGGAAGGCTCAGCCAGCGAAGCGGCATCTGGGGAGCATCTACACGAATGCAAACCCTGAAGCCCCAGAGCCCCCCAGAGCCCCCTGGGACAAGGCCAGACACACACACCCCCCACCTCCGGGCCTCACCTTGGACCGAAACAGAGCAGCCACCAGTGCCGGAGTTGGGGACCCCCACCTCTTTTGCTGGGGGGCTCCAATGCTGCCGGGGGGGAGGGCCAGGGGCTTCCCTGACCTCAGCTCAGCCGAGCAGCCCCTCTCCACCAGCTGCCCCACCCAGACTCACCAACGCAGGGCCAGGCGCCGGACGCTCTCAGGGCCCAGAGTGCAGACGCAGCATTCAAAGACGTAGAACCTGCCCAGGGCTCAAGAGGTTAGCGGTGGCTGGTCAGGCCCCCTATTGCCCCCCCTCCCCGCATCTCCTGGGTCAGGGGCTCACCTGTCCCCGTAGAGGAGGGGCTTGCTGAGACACTGGGTGCAGGCCTCGTGGAACCACTGCCCACAGCGGCAGCACTGCAGCATTTTGAGGTTCCACCTGGGCCGGCAGGAGGGAAAGGAGGAGGGTCGGACTACGGCATGGGGGCCTCAGTCCTCCCCTCCTGGCTTTGCAACCAGCCTCCAGGCCAGGGCACTCCCCCACCGGAGCCCCCCCCCATCCCTCTTCCACTGAGCCTTCCTGGATCGACCAGGCCGTCTCCTCCCCCACTTCCAGGCAGGGCAGCCACCCTGCCCCTATGGCCCACCCCACCCCACCCCCCGCCAGGGCACGCACTCACTCGCCGGGGCCTCCGCAGTAGCAGTAGCACTGCTGCCGGTTGGTCAGGTGCTCGGCATCCCAGTCGAGGGACTTCAGCTGGTAGGGCAGCACCAGCTTCATGCCCAGCATGGCCTTGGCGTAGGGCCCCTTCTTCAGGGCCCCCCCGCGCTGCAGGGGGAGAGAGGACAGCGGGAGGCGCCTGGGGGAAGGCCAGGCTAAGGTGGGGGGCAGGGAGGACAGGGAGTGAGCCCCCTCCCCGAGAGCGGGCAGGGGCACGTGGGGCACCAGGCCAGGCCTCCCGTCTCTGCCAGGGAGAAGGGAGACCCCGAGGCCAGCCGGTCCAAGGAGGGCCGTTCCCTGGGGGGGGCACGGGAGCACCCAGTCGACCACCCCTCACCTTGGTGGCCACAGCAAAGACACATTGCCGGCACGTCCAGGCGGCGTCGCTGAGCACGCGGGGCAGGTGGCATTCCTGGTGGTAGGCTGCAGGAGGGCACCGGGGTTAAAGGGGGGCCTGAAGCCTCCCACCCACACCCCCGCTGCTCCCCCGACCCCCGTGGCACTCACCGTGGCTGCACTTGTCGCACCTGACCAGGCGATTCTCGGGGCTGGAGGCCTCGGAGCGGCAGACGCTGCAGGAGGGCTGCTCACCCGGGACGGCAGCTGCGGAGGGAAAGGGGTCACCGGGCGCCTGGTGGGGGGGGGCAGCCCTTCTTCCCCCCCTTTTCCCCCAGCCGGGAGAGGAGCCCCTTTGGGGTGGGGAGAGCAGCACCAACCCGGGTTAATGTCCTTCCACAGGACCAGGAACTGGGAGTCGTCCTCGAACTGCACCAGGCACACCTGCCGGAGGGCGTCCACCTGCGGCGGGGGGGGGGGCGGAGGGTCAGGTCAGCGGGGTCCGGCCGGGGCAGTGACCGGTCCGCCTCCCCGCAGGGCCGGAGGGGGGGGGGGCGGCTGACCTTCTTGATGGTGCCCAGGTAGAGCAGCCCGTCGGTCCAGCGCGCCAGCACGTCCTGCCCTTCCCAGAAGCGGGGCCAGCCGGCGGGGGCGGCGCCGGGGCCGGGCGGGGGGGAGGCGGCGGCGGGCCGGGCCGGGCGCTTCCAGGGGCCGGAGGTCAGGCGGGCGCTGCTGCGGGTGCCGCGGGGGGCGGCGGCGGCGGCGGCGGGGGGCTCGCTCGCCATCACATCGCCTCCTGCGCCCAAGAGCTGCCGGGAGGGCCGCTGGCGGGAGGCCCCCGCGCCAGTGACGCAGCCGTCGGAGCAGCCCCGGAGCCCCGCCGGCGCCCTTACGCGACCTTCGGGCCGGCCGGGCGCGGCCTCCGGAGTCCCCGCGGGGGCGGGAGGGAGGGAGACGGGGGGGGCGGGAGGGGGGCGGAGGGCGCCCGAGTTGCACCGGTGGGGCTGCTGCCTGCGGTGCGAGCAAACGCAGCCGGTCCCGCCCCTTTCGGTCGGGGGAGGGGCGGAGCCCTGGGTGAGCCCTCCGGCCCCGCCCCCGGGCTGGCCCCGCCCCTCCGTCCCGGCCTGCCTGGCGCCCGAGCGGGGTGGGCGGGGCTTCCTTCCAGGCGGGACGGGCGCGCGTGCACGCACAGGAGCCCTCGGGCCCCGCCTTCCAAAGGGGCGGGGGGGGGAGCGCTGGCCGGCGGCACCCTCACGCGATTGGTCGCCTGCCGGGGCTGGACGAGCGCGCCGCCGGCCGCCCATTGGCTCCGGCGCGCGCGTCCCGACGGGAGCCGGTTCGAATCCCTCAGACGTTGCCCGGGCGGGGAGAGCGGCGAGCGCCGTCTTCCGTGCCTCTGAGCGTGTGCAGAGCGCGGCGTCGATCGGGCCCTCGCGGGATGCGCCAGTGAAGCCGGATCCTCTGGCGATGGACCGGGCGGCTTCCCGGCAGCACCTGGCCGCAAATGCGGCTCCCGGAGACTCCCGGCTGCCCCGCCCGGGCTTGAGGGGGAAGCGCGCCGCCGCGGCGGACGAGAACGCGCCCCCGGAGCCCCAGGTGAGCCTCGCGTGGGGCCGCGCGCGGGGCGGGTGGGAGGGGGTCTCCCGGGGCGCCCTCTGAACCCCCCCCCGCTCTTCCCCGCAGAAACGGGCGCGCACCGGGCCGGCCCCGGGAGCGAAGGTGGCGGCGAGTGCGGCCCCCGGAGGGTCCCGGCCCCGAGCGGCCCCCGCGGCGCCCCGCGGCCTCCTGCGCGTCTCCGGTAAGTCAGCAGCCGCTTCCCCGGGTCCCTCTTCCTCTTCCTCTCCCTCTGGGCGCCTCCGAACGGCTCCTCTCCCTCCTCCTCCTCCTCTCTCTCTCTCTCTTCCCCCCCGCAGGACGACGCCGGTCCTCGGCCAGGGCCACCATCGCCGCCCTCCCGGCCGCCCCTTCCGCAGGTGGGCATGGGCGGGGCTGGGGGGGGGCAGTCGGGGGGCTCCAGCCTGGCGGCTCCCTTCAATCTCTCTCTGCTCTGCTCGCAGGGCTGAACTGCCGGGCGGCTCTTGGGGCGCCTCCCAAGGCAGGTAAGGCAGCCCTGAGCGACCCCTTCCCCCCCCCACCCACCCACCCACACACGCGCCCCCTCGGGCAGCCCTTAAGCCCCCTCCTCACCCGGGCTTTTCCTCCCCTCCCCCCCAGGACCCCCGGCCGCCCCTGTGGGCGGAAGGGAGCGGAAGCGAGCCCCCTGGGACCTGAAGGGGCAGATCAGCGACCTCCAGGCCAAGGTGGGGGCCTACAAGGAGAGGGTCCAGGGGCTGGCGGGGGAGAACGAGGCCCTGAAGAGCCAGCTGGGGGGGCTGCAGCAGGAGCTGACGGAGGCCACCGGCCGGAACGGAGAGCTGAGCGGCCGGGCCAGGTGAGGAAGAGGTGCCTGCGGCCCAGGGCAGCGGCTGGGAGCTGCGGGTGCTCAGGCGCTGGTCTTAACCCTCCCGATGGCCTTCTGCAGTCTGCTGGCTTCGGAACTGCAGGTCTGCCGAGACCAGGCCAGGGAGAGCGGCCAGAAAGTGTCCGAGCTGCTCGAGAAGGAAGAGCGGCTGGAAGAAAGGTGCCAGAGCCAAGCCCAGAGGATCGGGCAGCTGGAGGCCCTCAACCGGGAGGTCACGGAAGGCAGCCGGGAGCAGGCTGTCCGGCTGAAGGCCAGAGAGGTGAGAGGGGGGGCTGGGCCTTCTCGGAGGGTCCTGGCTCGCTTCCTGACCACGGCTTCCCTTGGCCACCCATCGAGGCACGAGAACAGCATCTTGATGTGTGGCAAAGTTAGGGCGTCTCGAGATTGTGTAGGTTAGGGTTAGTTCTCCACCCATCTGTGCCTTTCAGTGAAGTAATAAACAACTGTGTCCGTTTGCAGCTTTATTGACCACAACACAGCCAAATTTTGCACAAGCACTTTCATTCGCACAGCTCACTGAATCCTTCGCTAGTAAGCAGCAATAACTGAGGCAGGGAGGTGGAGGGAAATGGGATGCGGGAGCACATGCTGCATGTGGGTCTGCCCCTTCCCAAACCAGCTCTCAGTCCTCCTCCTTTTGCCGCCCGAGCCTCTTCTGTGGTCGCTGCCTCTCCTGGGCCAAGCAAATCTTGGGGGGGGGGGGGGGGGTTGCACCATTTTCACCCAGAAGGTGGCGACTCCCAGACTGGCCAAGGCTGCTTTCCTCCCTCTGGCCTTCTCAAGTGGCAGCTTTCAGACATTTGTAATGCTGTAAACAGGCTCAGGTTCGTTGAGGTTAGGGTTAGGGTCCGTTACACAGCTGGGTCTTCCTCCCTCTGGCCAAGGCTGGCTATGCAAAGCGCCCCCACCCCAAGGCAAAGCCTCAGAGAAGGCGTCCCCCTTTGTTTCCTCTGCCTTGCCAGGAGGAAGGCGCTCTCTTTGGATCACTCTCTTTAGATACTGAGCTGAATAAACGTATTGGTAAAGCGGCCATCACATAATATAAGAAGCTGACGGAGCATACAAAGATCCAGGCCTATAGAGCCTGCGTCATCAGCACACTCTTGGACTGCAGTGAGTCTTGGACCCTTTACGCACGGCAGGAGAGAAAGTTGAACACCTTTCATATGCGCTGTCTCCGACAAATTCTTGACATCACCCGGCAGGACAAAGTTCCCAATAGCGCAGTCTTGGAACGTGCTGGAATTTCTAGCACGTATAGACTATTGAAACAGCGATGTCTACGCTGGCTGGGGCATGTCGTGAGAATGGCTGATCGTCGGATTCCAAAATCTCCTGTATGGAGAATTAGTGCAGGGAAAGCGCCTCAGAGGGAGACCACAGCTGCGATATAAGGATATCTGCAAGAGGGACCTAAAGGCCCTGGGAATGGACATTAATACTTGGGAAACCTTGACCTCCGATCGTTCAGCTTGGAGGCTAAAGATGCAGCATGGCCCTCTCCAATTCGAAGAGACACTTGTTCGGCAGGCTGAGGCAAAGAGGCAGTCCCGGAACCAGCGAAATCTGGGGGCTGGGCAGGGGACAGAATGTATCTGCCCTTAGTGTGGAAGGGATTGATGGCCACTCTCGAATTGGCCTTTTCAGTCACACCAGATGCTGTTTTAGGACCCCTTTCCAGAGCACGATACCAGTCCTCTCTTGAGACTGAAGGATGCCAATGCAAATGATGCTTGCCAGGAAAGCTTTTGGGGAGAGGGACAGCCTGCTGAATCTGCCTGCGGGGGTGGCAGGCAAACGAGGCTCAATAGACCCTTCCCTCCTTGCTGTACAGGAAGAGCTGCTGCTGGCCAAAGAGAGCCTGGCCGGGCAACGGCAGCTGAACGAGAGGCTGGTGGCCCGGCTGGAGCTGCTGGAGGAGCAGCTGCACCAGGGAGAGATGGAGCGACGCTGCCTGCACAACACGCTGCAGGAGCTGAAGGTGGGAACGCAGCCGGTGGGGGTGGGATGCCCCTGTCCTGAGGGGCTGCCTGACCCCCCCCCAACCTTTGCTCTGGCCTTCCAGGGAAACATCCGCGTCTTCTGCCGAGTGCGGCCCTTGCTGGCCAGCGAGAGGCAGGCTCAGAAGGCCGCCAGCCACCTGCGCTTCCCAGCCGACAACAACAAGGGCCTTGTGCTCTCCAGGGCAGAAGAGGTACCTTCCCTCCCCTCCCCAACACACACACACAGGGACAGGGGGAAGAGACCTGTGGCCCACCGTGCGGAGAGGAATGGAATGGAGGCAGGAAGGCAGGCATGCATTTGGGGTGAGCCCAGGGGGAGGAATAAGTAGCTTTGCCGGGGGTGGGGGGGCATCTCTCACAAAGTGACCCCTTTTTTCCTCCCTTCCCACCCCCACCCCCCCTGCAGTCCCACGTTGGTCGAGAGCGCAAGGAGGACATCACCTACGACTTCAGCTTTGACCGGGTGTTCCCTCCGTCCAGTTCTCAGGAGAGTGTCTTTGAGGAAATCTCCCTGCTTGTTCAGGTGGGGGCCGGAGGGGCGCCTGGTGGGTGGCAGGGGGCACCGCTCTCACCCTTTGCCAGGCATTCACCTTCCTGGGCGCTCTTCTTTTTCTCTGCCAGTCAGCCTTAGACGGGTATCATGTCTGCATTTTTGCCTATGGGCAAACGGGCAGCGGCAAGACATACACGATGGAGGGCCCTGATGACCCGGGCCCCGAAACGGCAGGCATGATTCCTCGGGCCGTGCAACAGATCTTCGCAGCCTCCCGTGACATGGAGGCCAAGGGGTGGAAGGTGAGGCAGGGGCCCAGGGGGAGTCCCCCTCTGAATTATGCAGGACCCTTGTAAATGGTATTCAAAATCAGAAATGAACCCTGTGTTTTCTGGGCCTGGCTGAGCCCCCCATTCCCTGAAACTGGCCTGCCTCCCCTGGGAGGGCTAACTCTCCCCCACCCCTGCCTTTTCTCCCCTCTCCCCGCCACCCCTCCAGTACCAATTCACAGCCAACTTCCTGGAGATCTACAACGAGTCGCTGCGGGATCTTTTGGTGTTGCGGCCAGAGCAGAACGGGGAGCTGGAGATCCGACGAGTGAGCCAGGTCACAGAGGAACTGCACGTCCCCAACCTCTCCTGCATCCCCGTCTCTTCCGAGGAGGAGGTACTGTGCCGGATCTCCCTCCTCCCCGCTCCCCTCAAAAGGGGGCTCCCTGGGGCTCTGTCTCCTCTTCTCCCCCCCCCCAGCAAGGCTTCTGGGACTGGCCCAGGAGCCTTCCCCTGCCCCCACCCACCTTCCTCCTTTCCCCTGCCCTTGCCAGGTCTGGAGGCTGCTGCTGACGGCCAAAGCCCATCGCTCCGTGGCCAGGACCAACCTGAACGAGCGCTCCTCCCGCAGCCACAGCCTCTTCCAGCTCCGTGTGGAGGGCACGAACACCAAGCGGGGGCTCCACACCTCCTGTGAGTGGGGGCTGAGTGGGGGGGTTAGATGTCAAAAGGGCCCGGGCCTTGTTGAGCCCCATCCCCCTGCCCCGCTTCAGATGGATGGGCCCTGACCTGCTCTCCTTGGTCCTGCAGCTGTGCTAAGCTTAGTGGACCTGGCGGGCAGCGAGCGGCTGGACAAGTCTCTGTCCACGGGGGAGCGGCTGAAGGAGACCCAGGCCATCAACACCAGCCTCTCCACCCTCAGCCTGGTCATCACCGCCCTCAGCAACAAGGTAGCGGGGGCCCCTCTGACACGAAAGGCTGGGGGAGGGGTGTCCT